AAAGTACAGTAATTTCATTAATTTTTAGTGTTTCTTGCTTGCACTATTATTATGAGCATAGCTCATACTTGCTGTTGGATGTCAGCTATTACGCACACAGTCATATTTATTTCAAGGGAAAATGTCTTTGCTTCAATTTTTTTTCAGTTCTTTTCAGTGGGTGTTCATTCATAGGTTTATGTATGAATTTATTTTTCTGATTCTTTTTTAACATTAATATTTTGTGGAGAGCATACAAGAATTGCTAATTAATGCCTTCCATGCCTGCTGCTGACAAACGTGGCTTCCAGCCATGCTGGTTCAGCCTGCCCCATCCTCCTTGTTTGCTGGGGAAAGCTTGGTGTGGGGGGAGCAGGGCAGGGCGGTTTGCAATGGAAAAGGAGGTGTGGCATCAGAAACGGTATGGTATGAAATGTGAGAATTACTGCTTTTCACTTAGCTTCCTCGTAGCGTAGTGGAAAATGCTGTGTGCTCAGGAAGTATCTGGACAGTATTGTTGAATTTCATGCCATGTAAGCAGGAATAGCGTGTGTTGCTCCACTGGTATTCCGATATGTTAGAAAAAACACATACAGATGTATTCATCTGAAATCATTGATTACTATGCTGAATGTGCTTATTTCAAAGTGCTTTCTTGTGTGCCTGATCACAATGCAGGCGTTCTGCACGGAGCAGCAGTGTTACCCACTGTGCCCTGCTGGATCCGGGCTGCAGTGTCCACCTGCCGTGGGGCAGCCCTGCACTCTGCCCACCGCAGGGCTGTGTTCATGGGCCCCACTGTTTTCTCTGCTGGTACCAAACTGGCTATTTCAGGAGGAAAACGAGGTGTGGATTTCTATCCACTGGTAAAACTACTTTTATGGGTTTCAGGGTAGACTATAAAAGCTTTCTGTACAGCATTTGGATGCTGACTCTGAGTGCTACGAATAAAATGCCCATCCTGAGGTTTTACGTTGATTTTTGATAGAACTGTTAATCTGCTGGCTGCCTGGTGAGGAGCCAGTGGAGGGGCTCAGGGTATGGATGATTCAAGCTCTGAAAGAAGTTCCTATTTATGGCGTATTGTTAGTGTTTATGCTGATCATATATATTTGACCATAACTTACTTTTGTTGAACATATTTGTTCTGGGATTAACGCCAGGACAAAAACTGAAGGAAATGAAGAAACCAGCGTAAACCAGCCCTTTCTGCTCCACTCCAACTGTTCTCTTTATTTTTAGGGCGTTTATTTAATTAAAGAGATTGGCAGAATCTCAGACCCATGTTCTTTGTGAAGTTAAAGAAAGCACAAGCTTCAGCGCAGGAATTTCAGCATGTCTCCAGGGCACCTTTCATTGGCTTCAGATTCCTTAACAACATTTTCTGTCATGTGTTTCCTTCTCTTAACAGTGATGATAATCTCATATCAGCAGAATTTTGAAGTCCTTTTAAAACTTCCCTATCAAATGTTGTAGTACAAGATCCTCGTTTGCCACTTACCTACTGCTCTGAAAAATTCTCCTACAAAATGTGAGAAATGCTCCCAGTGCAGCACGGCAAGGGGCAGCACCCTGTCTTCTGGCTCTGTGGAGCTTTGTTTTCTGTGTTGTGGTAGGTGGTGAATATTTTCCAGGCATCATCTTCAAGAAAAGCACAAAGCAGAAATCTAAGTTCCTGTCGCACTTTCTACTTCCAAGCTTCCTCCAGAATCCCAGCGGCAGCCCTGCTGTTTCTGCAAGGGCTTCCCTCTGAGCTGCCGAGCGCTCAGTACCTTCCATAGGCACGTCAGGTCCCCCAGCTGTGCCCAGCAGCTGTGTTATAACCCCAGTGTTGTGCTCTCTGCAGAGCTTTCAGGTGTCGCTTAATCAGGATTTCAAATATTTACTGGTATCTTATTGCATTTTCTGTGTGTAAGTGTTGTGAAATGAGGCTTTGTAGTGTAATTCTGTAGAGGTAGTTAGTATTGCTTTGTACAGTTATTTATCCTTTCCCACACTGTGGCTAGCTGCATGTCCACGATTCTGCAGCACTCTGCTGTGCTGGGCTGCTTGCTGGTCCTGCTGCTCTGTGCAGTGCTTGCTGTTTCCAAAACGGATGGCTCCTTTTGCACGCGGCTGGGCAGGCAATTTATGTGCTGATCACCATAGAAACCTGCAGATCCATCGCTTGGTCAAACTGTTCCATATTGTATCAGCGAGCTGGCATCGGGAAATGCAAATGAGGGAGGTGAGAGGGGGCTGGCGAGCGCGGAGATCCTCTCCTTTATCATACTGGTGCTAAGAGCGTTCCAAGCCACCCCTGCCCTTTTCAGCTCCAGCTCAGGCTCTCCCCTCAGCAGCGTTCTCCCCATGGGGTGGCTGTGTGTGGCCGGGCCCTGTGGCTGCCCAAGGCCCCAGTGGGGCTGTGTCCCACCAGCACCGCCATCCCTGGGTGTGGGGCCTGCTGCGCACCCGGCTCTCATGGCCAAAAGGAGTGCTCACCTCCTTGCAGAGCAGAGGAACAGCTGTGTGAGGTGGGTCAGCGTGGGTCCCAAGGAGTTTGGCCGCCCTATGGCCCCGCAGCCCTTGCTGTGGGCACCTGTTTGCCATCATCTTGCCTATCACCATCTCGCTGCTGCGTCTTGAGGATTTTTTCCCTAATTAGGAAGGTGATGCTTGGAGCTGGCTGGAAGGGAGCGAAACAAGGGGTAGGAAGGAAATGAGTGTTCACTGGAGAAGGGCGATTGCTGTGTAAGTGGGGCAGTGTGCCGGGTGAGAGAGGTGTGTGGGCGAGGGCCTCCAGTTCAGACACAGCATGGGTGCCCAGGGGCTCTGTAACGTGCTGCTCAGTCATCCTGGCAGCTGTCAGTGCCCTGTCCATGCCCACACGGTGTCCCAGCTGTGGCAGTGTCTTGGCCCCTCACTGGCACAGCAGCTCCATTCAAAACCAAAACTCGGTGCAGCACGCAGGTGGGCGATGCTGGGGTCACTGGGCCGGGTTTGGGGCGGCAGGAGGATGTGGTGCGAGAGGTTCTCCTTTTGACTTCTCTTTCAAAGCAGCGGTCGGGCAGGGCCTGTCCCTGCAGAGCTGCTGGCAGCCTGTGGTGTGTGTGGGGCGAGGAGGGCACAGGGGAAGCAATGGGAAGCATTCTGTTTCATATTTTCAAAATGAAGCTTCATTTGGGAAGTGCTAAAAATGTATATATATTTTTTTTGCTGTAAGACGTCTTCAGTTTAAGAATTGGTCTAAATTGGATCTGAATGTGCTGGAACAAAAATATTTCTAGTGTTTTTTCTAATGGAGTTTCTTTATTTGCTGAACAACTTTAGGTTGGGACTGATTCTGCTTCAATGTAGCTTGAATTTTTGATGTTATTTCTTGATTTAGATACCAGTAATGAAGCAGAAAGCTTCATCCAACAGGACATTGCAATCATTTTAGGATGTCTGAATCCTTTCCCATGAACTCAGCAGTAGCAAAGGTGGTAACTGTTCCCATGGTTTCCATACTGGGCCGTTGTTTTTTTTCCCTCCTTGTTCACTAACTGACAACCCAGAATCCTAGTTTGATGGCACCCATCAGATGCTGTCATTGGCTCCTCGGGTCTTCCTTCCACTGTGGGATTCATCTCCTGAGGAATAGTTCGCCACTTTGTGCATTTGATTTTTTAGAAATATATTTGCACGGTGTCTGAATGTTTGACATGATAATCAGTTTTTCCACTATAAAATACAAACTAAAATCAAGATCACACTTATTGCATCTTATCAAACCCTTGCTTTTTGTTGCTTTTGAGGTGTTAAAATCAGCTTACGTGATTATGTTCGTTAATCAGCCAGGATTTGACTTTGGAAGTGGCTCAAGAGGTCGTGTGATGAAGGAAGCCTTCTTTGCAGCCATGGAAGCCTGCAGTGGTTTCCTCTGCACGAGGCAGCAATGTGATTTATTGTTTCTGCTGGTGATGTCTTCCTTGGATAGAAAAAAGGAAGGGGTTTGATTATTATTATTTTTTTTTTTTAAGAAGGCATGCTGCATGGATAAATAAGGTTTGCATAATGTGAATGTTTATAGGTTCTTTGTTCAGATTGCACCCATATAATATATACTATGTTTCTGGTGACTTGGCAGCCATCTAGGAGGTCTGCATAATAAATCAGAAATCACTGCTCCATATGCATAACTAGATAGATGCACATTCTCTAGTTTGCGTGCCATGCAGCAGAAACTGAATTCATATGCGTCCCCTATCACACAGTGCTAGGTGATCCAGAATATGGTAACCAATAAATTAACAAAAACCAGTGTAGCATTTTTGTCTCGCTGGGTTTTGCATTTGAGTATTAATCAGAAGTGCAGTTTTTCTAAAAGTTTTCCTTGCTGCTTTTTTCATGGTGTTCCTTTCTGGTTGTTTAACACATTTTGTGCAGAACAACCTCGAACGAAAGGTGGGAGGTCGCGTTTGGACCGCCCTGCTCTGTTGTATCTGTAGGCACACGCGGCCTGGGGGCTGGGCCTGGCTCTTAGCACACCGATGGGTTTCTGCTGTGATAGTGCTGAAATTGGCTCGAGGTTTTGCTTCTCGAGTTTAGCCCAGAGAGCTGTGCCTCTATCACAGCATTTGTGCAGTTTGCAGATGGGAAAGATGAGGCAAAGCTCGCAGTTCCTGGCAATGCTTTTTTCTTCTTTGTTTGCAGAGGGGTGCGTGGCCACTGCAATTTGTTCCAAAACAGAGCACTCCCATTAATGAGTTTCACGTGTCTTCCAAATTTTGAATGATCAAAATATTACAAAACGCATATTTTTGTCATTACCAGCCCTCTCCTCCTTGTTTTTCTATTTGACTTGAAGCCTAAACTTGTAGATCTGTGTGTAGGAATCTCAGTCCTACTATATATTGAAGAGACAGCTGCTGATGTCTCTCAGAGAGCTGTATGCGACTGTTTGTGGTGTTTTTAATCAGGCTGGCAGTTTACGAAGGCTAAATTATTTAAACCAGTGCTATTTTATTTAAGAATACATGAGACAGAGCAGAAATACAAACTGCATGTGCCAAAATAGCTTTTGATTTTAATGCAGTATCCATTGTCAGGGATCCTGTTTCATGATCCCAGAGTCCTGCAGAGTGTGTTTGGGTGACTGCATTGGTTTTGTTCTCAGAAAAAAACAGAAACCAGAGGTGACAGTGGGACGTGGACAGGCGTTCCTGTGAAGCCCCAGCACCTCCTTCTCGGTCGGCCCCATGCAGGAAGGCAACTCCTCTGCCCCTCTCCCCTCTGGCAGGGCGCTGCGCTTCCCTGCAATGCTGGCTCCGCATGCCAGGCCCTCCCATGTGGCATCTCTGGTCAGAGCATCTGCTTCAATACTTCCTCCTTCTCCTGGGATGGATGTCACTGTTGGTTGTAAACTTTGACCCCCTTCTCATCTCCCTCCTTCAGAAGCTTTTTTCCATGGCGTTGTTTTTCTTTCTTTAAAAATTCAGGTCGATGTGACTGTCTGTAGCTTTATCAGCACGGCTTTCTGGGGGATCTTGGCTCTGTGGCACTGCATCAGTTTCTTGAAGGCTGTCAAATGTCTGCAAGTGGCAACTCGGAGATGTACTTTCTGCATTAGATAGTGGATCAGCCTGGAGAAAGCTGTTAGAGGAAAAAGATGTGGCTTCCCAGCCTGCCTGTAAATACTGACAGCAGCAGAGAACGTGGCCAAGAAACACACACCCTCGCAGCCTGTTTTCTCCTGCCTGTGACGCTCCTGCTGAGCTACAGAATTTCAAATCAGTCTTTATAGACCTGCATCGGCTCATCAGGGATCGGAGTAAAAATAGATCTGTAACGATACCGGTTACAGCAGTGAGAAGCCATGAGCAGAGGGGACGGCAGCCCTGCCGGGTCGCAGTGCCCGCAGAGCAGCACTGTGCTGCAGTGGGTGTGGGCTCAGCTGCCGGCACAGCGAGACAGCGCGTCTTGGGCACTGTGTGCCACAGCTCTGTGCTGTGTGTGCGGGAGGAGATGGGGCAGCAAGCACAGTGCTGGGGCTGATGGGGGGAGTGGAGCTGTGTTGGGTGCACGGGCACTTGACCACGACAGCAGTTCTGTGCCGTTTGGGCTCTGTACAACCAGGGCACGGCAGTCTGAAAGTCCATTTTCATAACTAACCTTGTCTGAAATGGAAGAGAGCTACTGGCAAGGCAATTTCTGAGTGTGAGCAGGGGTTGGGGTGGGCAATTCCTGCTCCAGGCAGTGAGGCTGTGCACAGACCATGGAGAAGAAAAGCAGACAGGTGGGCTCTGCTGGACCCGCTGCCATCCCAGCCGCTCTCCCCTGGTTTCACCATCTCCTCAGATCTGGTTGTGTAATTCTGCCCCAGCCACTACTCAGGTTCTATGTGGTGTTACTGTGAGATCACTGTGGCTTCTATTACTCTCAGTCCAGCCCTAAAGGTAATTGCTAGATATTTTCCTGGTGTTTGTGTTCTTTATCTAGTTATGATGTGCAAGAGAATATTCAGTGGTCAGTTTTCACTTTATAGCTTCAAAATCAGTACTACGAAATTTGATTCTTGTGTTTTCCTCCAGATAACTTCTTGAATGCCTCTACTACTTTTCATCTATATTAAGAGATCTTTTGGTTCAAATACATTACTTAAAAAATAACCATCAAAATCCATTCCTGGAAGCATGATTTGGTTGTTGGAGACCAGAACAAAGGCTTTGAATCCAGAAGCTTGTCCAAATGTCTCCCCCAGCTCCAACTTCTCCTGCCTTATTTTGTCACAAGCAGGCCAATCCCAATGGCTACCCTACCAGACCATTCTTTGGTGAGTGTAACTTTGATTTTCTTCCTGCTGACCAGCTGCTCAGTGGAAGGTGAAGATGGGACAGCAGTTCTTCTGCCAGCATCTGTTGACAAGGATGTGGTAGGGTAGAGCTGAGTGCTCCAGGCAACCTTTTTGCTGCTGCCATGCTGTACCATTGCAGGGTAAGCTTGGTTTTCTGCTGCAGCTCCTCCTGTAGGGCATCCTGTGCTCTGGCACTGTTCAGGAAGCTCCATATTCCACCCAGAATAGAGCTGGATGGTTCCAAGTAGTTAGCTTTCTGTTAATTTTTTCTATCCCCTCTTTTGGGCCTTATCTCAGGAGCACCAGTTATTCTCAGCCCCCATTAATTGCTTCTGTGTCATAGCTCTAAGTTTATCGGCTTTCCACCAGGTTTACTTAACTAACAATGCTGATCAGAACAGTATGTAAAGCTACGAATGTGTACTCAAGCATTTTCAGATCTCAGTTAATTTCTGAGGCTTAACGGGGTCAGTCAGGCCAAGTCATTTTCACCAAGATGAGCAGCAATTGCTGAGGAAATAGAGAAGGGCTCATTAGAGCAGCAAATTTGGAATTATGCACAAAGAAGCAGTAACTGGTCCCACTAAATTCTTTGACACCGTACAGCTCTCTTAATTGAATGTTGGAAGGGAACGTTGTTTTGCTTGTCTTTCCAAGCAGAAAATGATCAAATATCCACACGCCAGGGCCGGGCAGTTGTTGTCCAGGCCCCACTGCCACCTAACGCAGAAGTGCTCCCGAACACCACAACGGAGCACACGCTTCTCCGGCAGCTTCCCCAGGCCTGGGCTGCAGAACAGCGATTTGTGTTTCTTTCAACATCCTGACTGAAGAGTTAGAAGGGCAGTTATTGAAACAAAGGATTTATGGTTATGTTCCTGACCCCTAGAATTCACTGGTAGCACTGGACGGCTCCAGGACAAAAGCTGTGATGCACCATTCCGGCCTCATCACACGAGAAATGGATTCTGCCTATTTGCTTCCCTTTCTTATCTTTTGGGGCTTTGGTTAAGCACTATGAAATATTCACGTAGAAGTGAAATAGAGATTTCAGTTCAAGCTGAGATTTGTTTTGGAGAAGTTCCTGTGCAAAAACGTGTGGTACATGTAAATATACTGAGCAGCACGGCTGCTCTGTGCTTGCTGACCTATGAGCTGTTCTCTGTTCAGAGAGAGCTGCAGTTACTATGATGTGTGCTGGAATTCTTCACAATTTTTGAATCACTTGGCACTCACCTATACTGCAACAAATCTGCAGCACAAAAAAAAAATAAAAATTCTTGCATTGAGAGTTTTTCCTCTTTGTTCTGAGGAAAAAAAAAACCTTTTTCTTCTACAGAACAGAACCCAAGAAAGGGGATGTTGTGGGTGCTTCGTCCCGGTGCGCTGGGCTGGGTGGGCACTGGGCAGCATGCAGTGGGGAAGCTGGGGTAATTAGAAACACTTCTTCACATTTATTCCTTGGAGGAATTTTCAAAAAATAAGGATCAGGATTTATCATCTTTTGCATTTAAAAACAAAAGCAGGTGCAATGTGTTAAACAGCAGAATATGGTGTTTAGCATCTCCTATTATTCTATAAACTGCTTTACCAAAGCTGGCAAGGAGGGAAAGAGAAGAGATGGATGGTTTGGTGTTGTGTGAAGGTGTGGAGTGGCTGTTGGTGTCCAGCCTGCCTGGCACAGGACCAGCAGGGCTCTCAGGTGCTGCTGCCCAGTTCTGGTGATGACACAAGGCCTATAATTGCCAGGCAACGCAAGCAGTGAGCACAGAAAGGCAATAATGAACAGTGTAGTTTGGAGACTCATTGAGGTTGCAGCTCTGACAGCACTGAGCCCCTCAGTGCCAGCTGCTCGCTTCTCAGCCCCTCGGCTCTGTGCCTTGCAATAACGTGGCTTTGCAAGGGACTTCTCACTCAGAGCTGAGACCTGGTGGTCTGACCTGTTCTGTGTAGGCAGATATCTGTAAACCAAACAGGAAGGTAAAGCCAAATCCCAAAAGAAACTTCATTTGCTGCATCGTTCTGTTGCTGTTGAGCAGCTCCGAACTGCTGTGCAGTGTGTGCCTCTCCAGCAGTGTGGGCAGTCTGCAGGCTGGGTGTCCTCGCAGGGAGCCCATCCCAGCTCTGGATGCCAGTGTATGGAGGCCATGGGCTGGGTGCTGGTGTGCAGATCTGCCTGGCAGCCCTGTGGCAGCGCTGACAGCTTACAGGAGCCATCGCAATCCGGCCATTTTCAGAGGCCCAGTCCTTGCCCTCCTTTACTGCTCACCTCTTTGTTTCACACCCCAGCAGGTGAGTGCCTCACTCCTGGAGCAGCCCTCAGTGGGGGGGGGGGTGGGGAGGGGGGGAAGAACAGGGAAACAGAGCTGCTTTAGGGATAAGGAATCTGTTGTTTCCAAAAAATAGCAATTGCATTTTAATGCATCTAATTCAAATGTTCTAACTATTCCTCTCCCCCACCCCCCCTGTTTTTAGCACTGGTTTGCTTAGCTTGTAGCACTTCTAATTTTTCATAATTTTCAACAAATTAGAATAGGAAGCTCACCATCTGTCACCTCCTTTACATTAGACTTGTGCTGTATTTTGGCTGAAAACTCCCTCCAAGCTCCATTTGTCAGCTTCTATCACAACTGGGGGTGTGCCTATAGGGTACTCAATGCCTAGAGCCATTGGTGAGGTCTTTTCTATCACTTTGAGAGTAGTTTGTTGGTTCCAAGAATTAATAAACAGATCAAAATTATTCACCGTGATATCATTGGCTGAAACGAGAAGGGTGGGAACTGTAGATTAAAAGGCTAAACCGGAGAAATACTGGTTGAAGCACCACCAGCCATGATGCAGTTACTTTATAGCACAGATCCTTGCCTGACCCAGTTGTTTGTTGCATGAGAAGCAATGAGTGATGCATCTTTGTAACTCTTAAACTCGCTCGAAAGCAAATTAACTCCATATGCAAGTCCTATCATTTCTTTTAGGCAGCTCTTTTGTTCTCATAGTGCTGTTAAAATCTGTCTTCCCACAAGCTCACAGTAACACAGACTGTCTGAAACGCTGCTGCTTTTTCATTTGGGGAGAAAGCTGCTAATTAGTCTGAATGTGCTTGTCCCAGCTATAAATATGTGCTTGCTGATACACACTGTCAATGGAAAGTCATTTAGGTGACATAAATTGGTTTCATGTCATTGCACATCATGCAATGTGACACCTGAAGTGCTAGGATGCCAGCTGCTCTCTGGAGATAGAAAGGACATGAGCGTTCCTCTTCTTTTCCTCGTTTTTTTCTTTACTGCAGAAAAGCAGGTAGAATAGCTTTACAGTTCAATACAATTTTCCTCTTTGTTCCAGCATTGCTAGATTTTCTTTTTTGTTTTTGTTGAAGGGAGCATTGGAAGCCAAATGACTGCTTGCTAATTAGAGACCCCGTTTGGCGGCACGCTTTGTTTTATTAGGCTGTTTGGAGAATGTAATTAGCCATCAAACCAGGATAAGGCTGCCTATCTCAAACCATACTGAATCAGAAATGTGACTTGGTTGTTGTTCAGTTTTGGGGTTTAATATGAAGTTGTCTGTATTTAACAGTTTGAATATCTGCAGGAATTCCCCTTTTTAAAACCTCTGATCTTTTTGCACTTGCACTGTGAGTGTTTTTGACAAATTCTGTCTTCTATTTCCAGCCATATTAATTCAGTATCTCATAAGCTAGGCGACATTGGAAAAAGTACTGGAAGAAGGGACAACATGCAGTAATTGTGTTTATGGGTCTTATCAAACGAAGGCAGAGAATCCCGTGTTTGCAGTGCAATTCTAGAGACACAAGTGAAACAGCAGATGCAACAAATGCTGTTTTCTATTGCACTTCATGGCCCAGTTCTCCTTTAGCTGTAGTTATAGTGGAGGGCAACAAACCAGGGCTGGGGAGGAATGTTGATTTCTCCTTTTTTTTCCCTGCACCTTCTGCTTCTCAGACAAATCACCGTCATCGTTTGTAGCTGCAGACACCATAAAACCACAAGGCAACCCGGGCTGGATTTAACGCAGCACTTTGCCCTGAGCGGCGCGTTGCCCCATTGCAGCTCTAGGTGTGCTGGTGCCTCTGAGAGCAGCAGACGCTTTGGCTGTGCCTACTTTGCCTTTGGAAGCTGCAGGCAGTCTGGCAGCAGCAAGGGAGAGATGGCACAGGTTTGGGTTGTTGTGGCCTTTGTTTGGAGATAATGGCTGCTGCTCCATAATCAGTGTGCTTTCTGGCAGTGTATGTTTTTATGTTACCTTAAAGCAGACGTGTCTGCCAGTGGAAATAAAAGGAAATGCACCCAAACTATACTGCTGCAATGCAAAGGACCCAGCAGCCGCTGGCTGCAGTGGGGTTTGGCCCCAGCTCCACACCAATGAATCTTCTAGAAGGAAACATAGCAGAAAGACTGATTTATGAGGGTTATGTAAAGAATAGTTCACTGGAAGATATCTTCCTAGCATTAAATACAACGCAGGGTGTTAGATAAGCCGCGGTTTCTTTGCTATTTTTGCTATAAAAATTGTGTTCTGCACGCTGTAGTACAATGTGTGTATTAGTTGCAC